TACAGTATAATGTAAAGTAAATCAATATAATTGAAGAAACACGGGTGCAAAAGGTATATTTCTGCAATGTACATTTGGATGAATCTAAATTTATTTACAACTGAACACCACAACGTTGTGAAAATACAAGTTTTAAACACATTTATATGAGATCCACTAATGTAGTCCTCTAGAAATGTAGGTGAAGGTTAGTACTGTGGGTGTGACTGTTTGACAACCTGCTGAATGCAGGTCTGCATATGAACACAGAATCTTATGGTTGGCAGATGGTAAATTACACAAAAGGTCTTACCCAAAAAGGCCCCTGAAGCAGCAGAGACAGGCAGAAGAGAGACAACATTTAAACACATGAAAAAGTAAAAAAAAAAAAAGTATAATAAATAAAAATTATAAATAGAGCTCTGCAGGAATGTCCTAGCAATACAAGAGCAGAAATGGGACTTCTTCTTACTGTATTTTCCAGCATGCAAGTCACAGTTTTTTGCATAAATTTGTCAGTCCTGTGACTTATACAGTGGAAAATACAGTATACACATTTAATTGACACAAACAAACATCTGTGTTGACAGAATATTCAGCACACAAGCTTTTGACATAAAGGTAGGCTTGATGAATTAAAATATGCAACAAAAAAAAAAATGTCTGGTACATTTTCAAAATGACACCAAACGCCACATGAGATGTCTACAAGTAGCAGGAGATAGAAATTATTAGATTTTCTTCACCGTATTTCCTATACTGAGTAAGAAGTATTTCTAAACTTTATGCACAGATATGATTTATTATTCAAGGCAGATAAAATTCATTAAAGTTCTACCTGCCTTCAAAACAAATGTTTATCTGAATTTGGCTCCCTCGACTGGCCTTGAAGGCCACCTTAATCTCAATTCACCAGTAGGCCCTGTAATCTGGCACTCTGCCCCCCTTCCTCCCACTGAGGAAGTCCACGGATCAACCAGAGGGAACCAGCTGAATAAACATTGTGTCATCATTTCAGGACTCTTGGATTCTCACTGGCGTTGTCCTTGGCCATTCCCCGACACCCCTTGAGAATGTTTATGGATCTCACCGGAGG